CTGTTGGACCCATTTCCAGATAGAGTCTTCTTGGTTGTGTTATATACTGTTGCATTGAACATATGACAGTCTTTGCTACTAAATTTTACTTTTAAGGATTCTCCCCTGTTACACTTTGCTTACAGTGGCTTAGGTACAAACTTGTTACAAGTCACTTTCTGGATGGTCCTGGTGCCATAAGTTGATCCATATTCCTTTGTTTTCCAATGCTGTTAAGTACAAAAATATTCCTATTTCAGATATTCTAATTGCACAATGTGTATGCATCTTTATGATCTGAGTGTATGAATATTTTGTGTCAGAAAGAGTTGTTACACACACACTTCTAAAAAACAGTAACTTTTCGATGTCAAAATGTAGTACAGATACACTCTGTTCCACTGCAACTTGATATCTGCTTTGATTAAGTGTTAACAATATTGTAGGTAAAATGAAGATTTTGAATGAAGAGAGATTGATATATATTTGTGTCTAGTGAAAGTTGGAAATATGTGTGCTTGAAATGTATATTACATTTTATTATTTTAAAGTTTTACTTCAGATCAAAATGAATACTATTATTATATAGTCACACAGAATTGATAATACCAGAGCCACTAGTGCTACTGGTATTTGTTATTTAAAGTAATTTTCTGGGGATTTTTCTGGTTGATTTACAAGAGAAACTTATCAGATGTTTTTCAAAGCAGAAATATAAGTTGGAGCTTCCAAGTTTTACAGTTATTAAGACTGAGAAGGTTAAATATTTGCATTCTTTACTGACAGCACCAACTGTTGTTTGTTACTGATCTTTTTTTATTTTAGAAGTTATTCATAAAAGTAAAAAGCGAACAATCTGATGATTCACCTCAAGATGGCATTATTTCCAAGTTCAGTGAGAGTGATGATGAAAGTGTTAATTGTTCAGGGCATGATGTTATGAATTTGAAAAAAGAAAATAAACCTAAAGAGGATTTTCAACAAATGAACTCTGGATTAGAAATTTTATCAGGTAAGTATAAACATGGAAAGAGTTATGTTCATTAACCATGTGGTATTAGGCACATTACTTAGTAGAAAAGTGTTATTTCTGTATTGAGTTAAGACATTGTTAGTCTGTAAAGTTTCTATAGAATAAACCACAATTGACTTTAGGATGTATCCAGATTTGTGTTAGATTTACTTGGTGATGCTCCTGCTTTACGAGTCCTTTGCTGAAGACTGCAATCACATTGCTGTGATACTGATTGATAAATCATAGTACATTGGTCAAAAAGTCATCAGAGCAGCTATTATAAAAATGCAGTTGAAATATACCATGAATCATATACTGATTTCAATATATGAAATACTTTCTCCCCATAAACAGTTGAAAGTAATCCATTACACTGTAGCACACTCTTGTGTAAACATAATACATGCCACACGTGTGAAATTTCAACAATGGTTTATGGAGTTTTCTTTCACATGTACTGATTTTAGGTTAATAAAACATATTTTCATTATATGATATTATTCATTTCCATTGTCTATGAGACAATGCAGTAATTTTTTTTCTTTATTTATCCTTACTAATTTCTAGGAATGTACCTGATATAGCATTTGTAGTGTAAGTATAGCATTTTTACGAAGTTTTAAAGTTTAATTCATTCTGACATTTTTAGTTGCACAATAATAACAGGTAGAACTTGTTTTAAAAGTTTGAAAGACACGAACAAAGAAATAAAAATGGGGAAGGAAAATGATCAAACTGACAAAATGAAGAAAATATAGAATCGTTTAATCCATCTAGTACTTATAAGATTCTTATAACTTACGTGGGACCAAAATTAAAATTTGAAAGTAACTAAGTAGAAAAAAGGATCTGAAAGGCAGAGTAAAGTTTATTTATTAATATACAGTTTTGAACGTCGAAGTCTTTTCGCAACTTTAAATTTTTTTGGCTCAGTTTATAAAGTAAATAAAGAAAAATTTGAGATTTTCATATCAGAAAGAAAGTATCATGGTTATTTAAATTTCTAAGAAAATTAAAGCCAGTTTAATGGAAAGAAGCAAAAAAAAAGGAGAAAAATCTTGATTTTTTTTTTTAAGAGTTCTAATGATTATTTGTTTCACCTTAATGCTTTCAATACTGTTAAGAACTTAGAATCATGTAAAATCACACCTTCCGTGTAAGCTATCAAACCACTTGTTTCCTAATCTGCAGGGACATTATTCATAAATAATATCTTTATTTGCAGGTATTACTACATCATCATTCTTTGTTTGTTTTAGCTTCAGGTGTGATGTATATATACACATCTACATATAAAAGCCACTCTCTGTTTGTAATGTTCCCTTTGATAGCAACATTCAAATTGGCTCTGTAGTTAGCCGCAAGCAGTACTCTAACAACTGTTACCTATGTTCTGAAAGTTTATAGCATTGTCTGCCCTACGAAATAAAATACTTTTGTTTATATTTCCTGTTGGTAACTTTTGTGTTCAAATCTCATTTGAGTCAGAATTTTATCTTCGTTTCCCTAAACTGATAAATGATCGTTTTCATGCTTCATCTAAATAAATATTTAGTTTGAAATATTCAACTTCCAAGAGTGGTTAAGCCTAAATTAGTGTAAGCTTATTTTTAATGTCTACATTGCTTATATTTGTATGACTGTTTCCTATGTTCTGAAATTTTGTAGCATTGTCAAGCTTACAAAAATAAATTAAATTTGCTTATATTTTCTGTTGGTACGTTTTAAATTAAAATTTAGTTCTAAGTAACTAGAAATTTACATAACATTCGCTTTGGTATGAACACCTTTTCGAAGCTGGCAAAGATACCCATCATAAGACATTAGTATTATGCAACACTATGGACGTAATGAATTACCTTTCATTTATCAGAAGAACTCTAGAATAGTTTCTGAAATAAATTTCAGTTCAAGTGCAATTTGAGTGGGGATTTCTTTAATCATAACTGATTATGTTTAGAATAAGCTTATTGAATATTTGAAAAACCCAAATTCCATAATAGTTAAAATTAGGGATTTCATATACTTGTTAACATCGTCAAGTTGGCTGAGTGGTTACAGTGCTGGGATTTCATATACTTGTCAATATCGTCAAGTTGGCCGAGTGGTTACAGTGCTTGACTCTCTTCTGAAAGTTAGGGATTTCATATACTTGTTAACATTGTCAAGTTGGCTGAGTGGTTAGTGTTTGACTCTCTTCTGGAAGTCTTAATTCCCAGCTTGTTAACATCAGCTGGCTGATAATCAGATTATCAATAAAAGAAAATGAAGAGAAAATTCTGACTCAACTGGGAATTAAGACTTCCAGAAGAGAGTCAAGCACTGTAACCACTCAGCCAACTTGACGATGTTAACAAGTATATGAAATTCCTAACTTCCAGAAGAGAGTCAAGCACTGTAACCACTCAGCCAACTTGACGATGTTAACAAGTTGGGAATTAAGACTTCCAGAAGAGAGTCAAGCACTGTAACCACTCAGCCAACTTGACGATGTTAACAAGTTGGGAATTAAGACTTCCAGAAGAGAGTCAAGCACTGTAACCACTCAGCCAACTTGACCTTTGAATACCTGAAAAAATCCAAATACCATTATATATTAAATCAGAAATTTGAGATATTGTGTGAACATTTCAATTAAAAAATGATGTTGTACTCAATCAAGCCATGAAAATTCACTCGGCTTTTGATTTCCATTGAAAACTTCTGACACCATATGTGAAATAAATTCTAAACTAAAATTCTGAATATAACTAAAAAAAGTTCAGAATTTCTTTCATACAAGGTGCTAGTGTGTTCAAAAAATAATAACTTACAATTGTAACTTCATATCAAGTGATATTTCCTGTTAAGTTGTAGACTAAATGTTTTTTTGTTAATGTTTTCTGTTCCAAATCTGCATTATCTTAATGAATAATTTGAGGTAACCTACATTAAAAAATTCCAACACAATTACTTTTCATTAAATGTCTACACAGTGAAACTGAACAAATATTTTACAGATAAAATAAACAAAAAATTAAATACATATAGGTGATTTGCTAATTTACTGTCTGTGTTGATTAAAAAGGTTTGTTTTGCTTTTTTTTTTAATGACATTATTGTATATCGTTACAATGTTTTAATTATAAATAGAAATATCTAACATGGACAGAAACGATGAAACACTGCAAGAAAGAAAAAGTAGGTGGATGGCACAACAAAGTCAAGAAATCAAGGCAGAGCAAAAAAGAATTGACAGAGTCAGATGAAGCTCCTAAATAAATAACACAGCAAAGACAAAGTGATGCTGAAAGACATGCAAATGGAGACAGTGAAACAGCACGAGAAAGAAAGGATTGGTTAGCAAGAGAAAAACAAAATCTATGAATAACATGACAAACTCTAGAAACCTTATAAAAAATTAGGATAATTGAAGTACAGAAAATGGTATTGAGATGGTCAAATGAAGTTCATGAAGACGACAAATTGATGCTGAAAGACATGCATACAGAAATAATGAAACAGCACAAGAATAAAAACAATGGATGACATGACAAAGTCAAGACAGCTTATCAAAAATTACGATACCTGAAGCAGAGCGAATAACAATGAGATGGTCAAATGAAACTCTTAGAGAAACAACGTAAAGTACAAAAATTGATGTTGAAGGACCTGCACAACTTATACATGGATCACAAATTTTACCAATTAATATCTTGGAGGAGGGTTAAGTAAAGCAGCATAGTTGTGGTTCATGTTTATATTCCAGTTTACAATTGTTATTTTCAGTTTTGATGTGTTTTAGAGTTTGTTAAAGCATTACTATAATATATTAAGTTAATACATAGGATATTAATTACTTGCTCTATTGTTTGTATCAAATACATTTTCTGATTATAGATCCAAAGACCTACGTGAACAATTACTGTGGAAAGAAATTCCTGAATTCAAGCAATGTGAAAGTGTTTAATTACACGTTGTCAAGTATAAGTAACCTAAAAACATGTAAAATTTTCCAGAGGTAAACCTTACAGAAATGTTATGTCAGCCAAAGAATTGGAAAGAAATACTGATATAAAATTAAATGTCAGGCCCACCACTGGGAAGAAACCATACAGATGTGTTGTGTGTGGTAAAGAATTTGGAAGAAAGACTTATCTTAAAATACATCACAGGATACATACTGGGGAGAAACCATACAGATGTGCAGTGTGTAGTAAAGAATTTCGAAGCAATAGTCATCTTAAAACTCACCTTAGAATACACACTGGAAAGAAACAATACAGTTGTGTAGTGTGTGGTAAAGAATTTCAAACTAATGGTCATCTTAAAACTCATCATAGAACACACACTGGGGAGAAACCATACAGTTGTCTAGTGTGTAGTAGAAAATTTGCAAGAAATGACGAACTAAAAATTCACCAGAGGACACATACTGGGGAGAGGCCATACAGTTGTGTTGTGTGTGGTAAAAAATTCAAAAGTAATGGTGAACTTAAAGTACATCACAGGATACACACAGGAGAGAAACCATATGGCTGTGTAGTGTGTGGCAAAGAATTTGGAAGAAACAGTTATCTCAAAACTCATGAAAGGATACACACTGGGGAGAAACCGTACAGTTGTGTAGTGTGTAACAAAAAGTTTGGAAGAAATAGTGACTTGAAAAAACATGAGAAAATACATACTGGGGAGAAACCTTATAAATGTGTAGTTTGTGGTAAAGAATTTCTACGTCGTTATGACCTTAAAATACATAAGAACGTACACACTTGGAGGAAAAATGTAAATGTCTGAAATCAAGCATGGTGACATTTTTGTTTTATGACCAGGTTAATGGTCTCTTGGTTAGCTCCTTTTTTTAACACCTTTTTTTTTCATGAAAAACAGTACATACAAGTATATCTTCTTTCTTCCAAATAGTTTTACTATTGCAGATAGGTAGATAAACAAAGTTCCGTATAAAAGAGAACTTACTCGTTTATAAGCAGAGGTGAAATTTTGGTGAAGTCAGTTTGTCTTGTAATTTGCTATAAACTAATGAAAATACATTTGTTTATTTATATTTTCAGACAAATAACCAAAGAGAAACATTCTGGTAATGGAGATAAAGGTTTTCAGATTTGTAGCAGGTAAATTAAAAGAATTAGTTTAAAATACGTGAAAAAAAATACACATTATTGTAGTGTGCTAAAAAAAGCATTTGGAATTAACAATATAAAATAATAAACACTGGGGAGAAAGTGTTAGAAACTTAACACCGTGTTGTATCTTTGACTTGAAAACTAAAGATACAGGTTGATTAGAGACATAAAATCAACTGTAGAGGAGATAATTGTAAATACAGGCTGTGTAAATATCATTAAAAAACGAGTTAGTATATGTACAATTTACATGGTGCTTTACTCAGTATCAAAGTCTTCAACAAGTAATTTCTAAAAGTGTACTTGATGTAGCATTTTTACTTAGTTTTAAAGTTTAACTCACTTTGACATCCTTAGCTTTACATTAATAATAATAATTTGTTCTAAAATTTTGAAAGACAAGAATAGAGAGGTAAAAATGGTGAAGGAAAAAAAAGTCAAGAAAATATTGAATTCTTTTAAACATCTAGCACTTGTAAAATTTTTAAAAACAAAATGGACTGAAGGCTAGAGCAAATTTGATTTACTAATATACGGTTTGAAAATCAAACATTGTCCATAACTTTGAATTTTTTTTTTGTTGTTGTTCAGTTTATAGACCGAAAATTGTTATAATAAAAAAATTTATTATATTTATTTTAGTGTCTAAAAAATTCTGTTAAACCAATTTAATTGAAACAGGTAAAAAACTGAAGAAAAATATTGTATTTATTTGTAAATATTTTGATGCTGCAGTGATTTTTGTTACACATTAATGATTTCAACACTGTTAAGAGAAAGAGAGTGTAGAAAACTAAACTATAAAGTTACTGTTTGTTTTCTAATCTGATATGTGATCCAAGAAAGTTCCAGATGTGCAGAGATATTTATCTCAAATAATATCTTTACTGGCGGACATAACTACATCACCATCAGGCCTGTACTCAGAGTGTTTGAAAGCATGCTAATGTTACAGGGGTTTAGGGGCATGCCTTTCCTGAAAATTTAAAACAAATAGGTTCTATGAGATTAAATCTGGAAGCGATTCTGCATGAAATATAGCTTAAGTAATTGCATGGCTGTTCACATAAAATCTATATAAGCACAAAAATAGGGGGTTTGTTTCCCTCCCCCCTGCATAGGTGCTTGCGTGATCATTTGTTCTATATCTATTTTATTTTCAGGTTTGTGTATGTGTGCATTTAATTTACTTTTTTAATGCTTTTTAAAACAATATTTCAGTTTATTTTCTTAATAAGTTAATATATATGATATTAATTAATGTATTGTTTGAATACACATACATGTTTTGATTAGATTTAAAAACCTATGTGAAAAATTAATGTCAAAAGAAGTCTCTGTATCAGAGCAATGTGACATTGTTTGGTTACACATTGTCAAGAGTAAATAACCAAATGATGCGTAGAATTTCTGATAGTAGAAATAAACGATGCAGAAATGTTGTGTTTACCAAAGAATTGGAAAAAAAATTTGATCTAAGAATGACTGTGGGGACCAGAACTGTTAAAAAACCCATAACATGTGTTATGTGTATGTGGTAAAGAATTTGGAAGAAATATTCAGTTTAAAAGACATCATTTTAACTTTTGTTTCCATCCTTCCATGTATTGTGTTGTACAAGTGTAGCAAGTTTCCATTGTTTAACCCGATGACCACCGGCTACTAACATTCTGAGTAGCCAGTGCAAGTCTTGCTATATTTCATTCCACCAATAAAACTAGTGGATGAAACTATTTGAAACTTCATAAGAACTTTCATAAATGCATGTAGTTTAACTTAAGAAACATGAAGCCTGTTACTTTTAATAAATTTAGTTATTTTGCATTATGATATTTAATATCTTGGAAAATTACATTAGGAAATGGTATTTATAAGAAGTGATTACGATATTTATATTTGTTCCAGATTTGAACTTATTACTTTTTATGTTTTAGTATATTATTTTGAAATCCCCAAAAATTTGTATCGTCCATAAAATGCAAATTTTATCTATTTTTAATAATCATGTATTCTCCTTATGGTTTTAAGTAATATACAAGACCTAAATATAATATTTGTAAATAAACCTAAACAATAAATGAGTATTTTTATTTTTAACTAGGATTTCATGTTTATATATGTACATAATAAAACATTTTAATTTTATTTCAAGTTTATGTTTCATTGCAACCATACTTTTATTTATTGTGCCGAATAAATTGTGAGGTTAGCAGCATGAACTTTGTACGTTAGCTGTAAACTATCATGCCTATTGGTGGTCAATTTCGTTCAGTCCAGCACAGGCACATTTCAATATTACTGTAGATATGATAGTAAGAAAGCTTTTCGGTACTTGAATATCATTTCTTTGAATTTTCTGCAAGTTGTTTCACTATACAGAC